ATGTCGCCAGAAATGTCCTCTATAGGCTCGACTGTGTACTCTAAATCGTGTTCATCAAAAAACTGCTTGACGCCCTCTGCGGAACATTCGTTACCGACCACAACGTGACCTTTGTCGACGAGCCTAGAAGAAGGCGAAACTGTGTTACGTTCGATTTGCCATGATTATGTGAATCTACTCGTTACTAGCGGTGGATCTATCCAAATCCTTGAAAGTTACAAATCTTGCGATGTATTTGCGTACTAGTAACTTGTTCTTGTACGGCTCTAATCTTAAAACTAGTACTTACCATTTCAGATCTAAGCTTTTTCCACAAAGTGGAAGGAAAAAACGCTGCTTTTCTTCTTCTTTCGTCAACCACGAATAATGCTTTTGAAGTATTCTTCAAAAAAAATGAAAAATCGACGATTACAAATAAATATATGTGTGTCAAAGTAGTCTGTCATCATCTCACGTTAATTTAATAATAACGTGACGTCATATGCATGTCTAAAGGTTATACATCCTGACACTATCTCTGGATACAGTTCTCCAATCACAGCGATTTACCACATTAAACAATTTGTGTACTTCAATAATAACTGCGTGTATTTTGTAGAGGATTGATTAACAACCCCCCCCCCCCCCTCTGAGAAAGGGTGATTGACAAACAGGAGTGATGCCAAAGAAATAAATGTGCAACATCAATTGTAACCTTATTTTATGGAAATAACGTCATTTAAGCTAACGGAAATGCGTAAGGCACAGTAGAAGTAATGTATGCAGATGCTTACGGATGTACTTTCTCCAAATGGAATTTAGTCTGTCCTTTCCTCCATCTCTTCCTCCATGTCTCCACAGTCATGTAGTCGTCGTCATGGTCACCAAATTGATTCTTCCTCTTTCGAGTAAGTCCATTGCATTGAACTTTTTTATGTTCACCGTTCAGGCTGTTTCCGTTTGTCAATATTTGAGCATCATTTGGAACTTCCACACGTGTTTTAATCTCTGTCTTTGTCTCTGACATCGTTTGCAGACGTTAGATGGCGCTATAAAATAAAGACGCTTAAATTAGGAAAATGTGAATAAAAACGAAAGCAGCGTTGTGTGTATCAAAGGAGAGGGTCCTGTAAAACATTGAGAACGTTTTAAAGAAGTTTTGGCCGAAAAGTTGCTAATTTAGGGGCCGAAAAGGGCAAAAAACTCATTTTGATGGTACATCACGTATACATGTTCCATGTGCCTCCCCCCCCCCTCCCAGGCGTTTGTGATAACGTGTGATGCTAGACCCTACGTATAGAGCGATAGAACTTAGAAGTAAGTATAACTTAGTAGGAATTCTGCTTTCTGGGGTTCAAGCGATACGATGTTACGCCTAGGGTTCAGCAATAGAAACGAGCACACACCTTAAGTGTTTAGCGTCCGGCACGCTACTAAATTATAGGATCCAATCACGTGGTACAGTGACCAGGTATTTCTATTTGCCTTCCTTTGTTCCCAACCGAGTGAACTCTGAACAGCTTATTGGAATTTCGTGAATCATTTTCAGACCGATTAACTTAACTAGTTTGAAGTTCACTGAGTAAACGGATTTGACGCAAGTAAGTCGTGTTGTCCTGGTTACGTTGAGCAGTACACTGGAGCAATTGTCCGTCAGTTAGATTCTTATTAATTTACATGCCATTGCATACGCGACGTTAAAATTGTTGAGAACGCCTGAAATGAGTTACCAAGGAAGATGTAATAATGGTCACGCGTTGATCAGTTTTATTTAAGACTGGTATGAGGTGCGTTTACATTCAATTTCTTGAATTAAAGGTACTGGGAAACCTACTTGTCGTGTTGCGCATGTTCTGTGCGCATTGAAAAGAAAACTGCGTCGTGTACTTGTCCCATCTTCGGTCTTTCACGCCTAAAGCAACACTGTCTAAAGTAGTGTGCCTGATTGACCTCAAGCTGACCCCAATAACTAAGACACTGGTGCCACGCGGGATTAATACATCGCTGATGCTTTGATCTGATTGGCTGGTCATTCCGGACTCTTTCTTGAGTATGGGGCGATTTTTTTTTTATCTACTCGTTATACAAAAGCTCTCAATTCGTGCAAGTTAACCCTGTTTAGCAACTGTAACGGTCGAGTCTTTATTGTCTGAACCATTTCTTAAGGTCCATGTTCACTGCAATGAATTACGGAAAGCACGTGCACCTACCCTGGGGCATTCTCCATGTGACCCGCTACAACTGAGGGTATATTTTATAAGTGGCCCAATCGGAACGATTTTCTTCATGCTTTTCAGCCCAAAATTGTGTTGTCAATTTCCTTTTGTATAGTGGCCGGAATGTGAACCACAGTCCACTGTGTCTGAACAAATGTCGGGATTTTTAGTAAATAGTGTTATGTAAAGGGTAGTCTCAACAATCTGGTCACCGATATTTTACTCCAGGATTCAGTAATAGTTGCCAGGACATTCAAAGGACGGGAAATACACTAGTTTTTTAGGGTAGCTAAATAGTGCTGAAGATGGGTAAAATTTATCGGTTTGGGCTGAAGGTTATCAGTAATATTCGGTTATAAGCACGTTTAACTTTCACTGGTTTTATCATGGCGTGTTCGATTTGACGTATCCCATCGCTATCGTACGAACTTGGGGGTGTCATTCAAGTTCAGGTTTTTCTTTTTTCAATGACTCCAAGCTTATATTCGATAGAGTATATACTTATTACGTGGTATAACAATAAACTTCGACCACTTGAAATATATTTAGAAGGAAAAGAGAGAAATTTGACTGATGAGACTTTTATTTATATGATATTTCTGCCAGGGGCTCACCCAGAGCCGTAAAACCAACCAAATCAGAACTTCAAGGCCAACACATGCAATTAGGGCAAATACAATAAATGACGTCGCATAGCAACTGTTTGTCCTTGAATGTTCACCTAGATACAAGCAGCCATATTTGAATTGTTCGTTTCTTTATTTCTTATTTTAAAAAGACGTTGGCATAAATACGAAGTGTGTTAACTTGATCTCCCAGGAGAACAACTCATGAAAGTGTCTATCTAGGCCCGGGATTCAGGTCAGCGTATCAGTTTACTGTTGCCAACCCTTTTTGAAGAGAAACGCTCCAAAGAGAGTTTTTGAATGGGGAATGTTGTCTCACTTTCAAGTTAGAAAACAAAATTGAAACTAACTGGAACATACTTCAATCACGGACCTATATTAAATTAAAATTATCACTCCCGCGAATATTAACCCGATTATAACGCTTCTGGGCCGGGCCGGGACTGGGTGAAATGCCCCCGCTCTTGGTTGTGACTGTCAGTTTAGGCATTTCAGACATGTCATCTATGACCTACGGGTCAGACACTATACAAACTCCAGTAACAGAGCGTCTGGCTTTGCCGAACAGAACAACGATGGTTTGACGTGGGTCAGTATTGAACTCACAATGAGTAACTCGTGTTGAATGACGATCTACTTTGCAAATCGCTGAGTCGGTCACTCGGTCAGTCACAGTACAACGTTCAGCCAGTACTACGTCGAAGGTTGAATAAAAAAATAGGTTACAATTTGTCATTTTAAAAACGAGCATGTTTATATCTGCACTATATTCAATTAATTGTGTTATTATTATCGGAATGTTATCATATAAAATGAAATAATTCAAAAGAATGGTCACATATATTACATGTTTCGTCACGTGACATCCGCGGCGTGCGTTACGCATCATGGAAAACGCGATTTATCGCAATGTTCACGGCTTGCCGCCAACCGAATTCTTCCGACGGATGGCCGACTTACCGTCTGCATGCTGAGATTTGGCGGGAAAAGTGGGACAAATTAGAATAAAAGGAGACTATTAAAACGTCGTATATCAAGTCCCATTCGGCGTCACCTGGTGGCCTGCTTAGCGTTTAAAGTACGCCGGGTTTCTTTACAATATTCGCGACAATATCTCGTGAAAAGCCGATATTACCGAAAACACCGACGTAAATCGCCACATCGCATCAAACCCCGGAACATTGACTTACGGCGCAAAGGCGAGTCCGTCCATGCGTTATTGGGCACCAGTTTTAATAACGCCGCTGAGAGGAAAATTTGCCAGTTGCCTCGTAAATTGGATAATAAACTTTGTATTCCACTTCGACACTGCTCGTGGCTTGAAACGCTTCGGAGAAAATTCCATAATGACTTACCTTGCGATATAGTCTTTATGTTTACAGGTATGAAGCCTCGAAGTTTGCTTCTAATATAGTATCCACTGCTCTCACACTCAAAAATCAGTTCGGTTAGAGCAGCTGATCAATCCCTTGGTGCTGCTTGTGAATGACAACCGCGCTGAAAGCTGTAATTCTTTTAAACACTTTGCTGTCATGAATAATTCATGACCTTTTTGTCTTCTCGTCCATGTAAGTGTCGTGGGGTGTCCTATTAAATAAAATGGGGAGGATGGATAACAGGGTGACAGGTCCGACCCGTACTACGTGATGCTGGGCCAGAACTGTCCCTGGCGACGTGGGCGGTGTTGTCGCTGTTTGAAACGAGCTGACCCTTTTCTGTAAACAGGATGGGACGAGAATTAATTGTAAGGGCGGTTTTTTGTTTTGATTGACAAAGTAGGAAAGCACTTTGTTTGCCTTTCAAGTCGATCAAAAGCCAGCCTTGAAGAAAAAACGCAAACCATGCGCGTGGAGGAACACACCGGTAGATTCGTTGAACTCACTGACATTTTAGAATGAATCCGAAGTATTAAATGATTTATACATCTTATGTTTACGTGTTCATTCTCGGGATGATTTAACACGTCTTCTCCTCGATTATAACCACCTTCATGTCAGAGGTCAATTTGTTCATATAATTGATTGAGTGTACAATTGATTACGTAACAGTGGGAGAACGGATCGATTGATTCATCCTTGATAGTTCCGCTCGTTATTATCAACACTGGGTTTGAATGCAATTTTTTAGATCAATAAAAAGTACAGTTTGAAAGGATGGCTATAAATCCCAGTCTTTGTCCATGTAATCGAGAGAGTGTCCTTACATACATGCGTATGGTTTGAAAAGTACCACAAGCTAGGTACCGGGCTGTCGATCATCGACTGGCCGTCTGGCGGACATTTTGCCTCGCCGGCCCTGACAGCATTTTTGAAGAAAATAACTGATTTTTTTAGATTTTATGTGCATATGGTTATGACGTGATGAAGACTATACATATTATTAGAACATATTTTCTTGCTTATTAAGCAGCCATAATGATGAAATGGAGAGACGTTTATTTAAATCATCAATTTACCCCATAACACCGACGAACGTACCTAGTGACAACCTCAGGATTTAGATAATTTTGAACAATTCTGACAGACCTTGACTTACAACTTGACAAATATTTATGTACACACTACACCCGGAGACCACTGAATAATACCGGAACTGTGATTTCGTCTCCTTTTTTCCTCCAGTTATGTCTCGAAATTTCCTCCATTATTATACACGGTGATTAGACTATAATTGATAGAAGGATGTAGAACCTAATTTTAGTCATAAGTTTGAGGATTTCAAATTCTAGATCAATCAAATTCGTGATTTTTAGTTGGTCATGGAATGTGTGCACACTCAACTGGTTTTTATTTATTTTTTACTCCCTGTACTTGGGCGCCCGTCCCCCCATTGGCGTCAATAACATAGTCCTACTACATACATCCATTCTCACGATTCACTGCCATTTCCGGCGCCTTGTCAAGCAATACTCCCAAGCACAGTCCCTCTATCCCCAAGTATATGCCAGTATCAAGGTGTGCTAAGAGTCGTTTATAACGGTAATCGTACGGGATTGAGTAGAGGTGTTGAATTACTGAGTGCTTTAAGAAGAAATGTGAGACAAATACGGAGATTACCCGGTATAACCATAGACCCTCAATGGTCTATGGTATAACGTAGATCAGTTAGAGAGGGCAAATACGGTGTCATATATTCGTTTAATCACACTCCCTCTCTGTATGATAATATCTATGATAGAGGGACCTGTGGTTTAATCAATTTGTTAAACGACAACCTTACTATCGAATTTTTCACAACAGGAAATATCGTATTGAAGCAGTGGCGGATCCAGAGGGGGGCCAGGGGGGCTTCTCTGCGATTTTCGCTCCGTATATCTTAAGCGAAGCTTCCCCCCCCCCCCAATACATTTTGCTGGATCCGCCACTGTATTGAAGATGGAATCAGTTCGTTGTAGCACAGCCCCATCTATTCACTATACTTTGGTTATAGCTATAACCCCTTGTTGTAAAAGTGGTTCAAACCCCGTGACACAGTAACAACAGCGCACCGGTCCCCCGGCTGTAAATGAGAATAGTGATAAAAAGAACACAATACAGACGGCAAAGCTAATACAAGCCAAATACCGTGCGCCCGAGTGGCTTGTTTTGTCAAGCCGTACAGCAATTACTAACGCAAACGCTTTGTTCATATCTCGATGCAGGTCATTGCGTTCCGATGACGTCTGAACCGAGTTCCGCTAAACGCTGCTCCATTGGATAAGCGCCGATTAAATCTCGTTAAAAATAAATCCTGTGACGACAGTTTTTAAGTAAACACATTTTCTTTAGTAAAATTAAAAAAAGTTTCTCATTTGTCGCCTGTTGTGCGATAGAATTCCGTGTTGAATGTTAATAACGTCATAAGTTAAGTAAGTTCGGGGATGCCCTTATTTATATAGGTAGGTCGACGAGGAGGACAAACATCATATTGAACCGTGGCTGGTAGCGAATGCTATTTTTAGATCGGAAGGTACTTTTAATATGTCGTATTTTAAGCTTATGTTATAACAACAAACGTACTGACACGCATGTGAGAGAGCGCGGTGCATTCTATTTTAACTAAATATGATGAAAACGAGTAATTGTTCAAGGGTGGTGGTCGTCGCGCTGCGTCCCGTTCGATATAGGAATCATAGCGACGTATACAACGCGTGTAAAATACATTGTTTATTTACATGAAATTCCAACACGCACTGCCGACGACCGCCGCCCTTTTATGATATTACATTTTTTTTCTTCAAATTCTAGCACAATTTATAAGCTGTCTGTGTTTGGTGCCGGTCCGGAAGAGGGCACTCGAGAGAGAACGGTTGACAGGTCGGTCGTCCCAAACACCGATAATGTTGGCCAATTTAGTGCTAAATAATTAGTTTATGATGTTTGACAGTTGGTTCAATGGTTAGCGGCCAATAACTTCCGTCACATTTTTAGCCGATATCCTGTAAATAAAGAAACAAGAATATTGTACAATTCAAACCCAACTTGCACATACGTGTTCTATTGGGTTTGTATGTTCATAACTACCAACTGGGTATCACAATTTTGGGTGAATTTACCTATTTTGTAAGGGTTAATTACTTGAAATCACAGTCTTTCTATCTCTATACATGTGCCGTGTTACCACGTACAGTACTATACCCGAGGGACGAACCATTTGAATCTCAAAGATAAACACCAGCCACCCTCCCCATTAACCGGATTGTGCGCCCCCTGTATTATGATATACCTGATCTTATTTTAATTCGATAATATACTTAACATTACGCTGTGTTTCGGCGTCGAGGTTCATGTTTTGGGAGGGGGAAGTGGAAGCACCCGTTCGAGTGACATA